AAGCAGAGAATATCAGAAAGATGTTTACCTGTGCTTTATTGACTATGCAAAGGGTTTCAATTGTGTGCATCATGACAAGCTATGGAAAACATTGCGAAGTATGAGTATTCCGGAACACTTAATTGTGCTCATGAGGAATCTGTACATGGACCAAGAGGCACTTGTTCGAGCAGAACATAGGAACACTGAATGGTTTAAAATTAAGAAAGGTGTGCGACAGGGTTATATTCGTTCACCATACTTATTCAACCAATATGCTGAGGAAATAATCCAAGAAGCTGGCATCAGGATTGGAGGAAGACTCACTAACAACCTGCAATGTGCAGATGATACATCCTTGCTTGCTGAAAGTGAAGAGAACTTAAAATACTTATTGATGAAGATCAAAGAGCATAGCCTTCGGAATGGGTTATATCTCAATGTAAAGAAAACAAAAGTCTTCACCACTTGACCAATAAACAGCATTCCTATTTAGGGAGAAAAGATTGAAGTTGTCAATGACTTCATTCTTTTTGGATCAACTATCAACACTCAATGAAGCTGCAGTCAAGAAATTTAACATTCATATGCATGTGAAAGCTGGGCAGTGAATAAGGAAGACCATAGAGGAATTGATGCTTTTGAATTATGGTGTCAGAGGAGAATGTTAAAAGTGCCATGGGCTGCCAAAAGAACCAATAGATCAGTTTTGGAAGAGGTGCAGCCAGAGTGCTTCTTGGAGGCCAAGATGGCCAAACTTCATCTCTCCTACTTGGGACGTATTGTCAGGAGGGACCAGTCACTAGAGAAGGATATCATGTTTGGTAAAGTGGAGGGTCAGAGAAAAAGAGGACCACCCCCAATGAGATGGACTGGCCAAGTGGCAGCATCGATGGACTCAAATGTGGCAACAGTAGTGAGGTTAGCCTAGGATTGGGCAGTGTTTTGTTCTGCTGTGCATAAGTTGGTACCGACTTGATGGCACCTAACAACAACAACAACAACAAAGGTTCCACGGGGCCACAGGAGCATGATTACTGATAAGCTGGAGACCAAAGACAGAGGATTTCAGTTTCTTTCTTTTTTTTTTTTTTGTTTTTTTCACGATTATGGGATATATTAGGGAAGTTAACAGGTTACAATAAAGGATGAGAAATGTTCAGAATACAACTCTTCAGCTAGCACACCTCTTTCTTGTCCTTGGCCTCTTAACCATGTAACCCAGTGGCCTCCACTCTGTTCCAAAAATGCTAAAAAGCTCTTTTAGTGTTGCCTGTAAGTGCCCACAAGCACTCCAATCTGCCTTAAGAAAACTCAGCCTGAAGACACTCAACTCTAGCTCCATAGGGCAGCAAATCTAGCTGCCCCAATGAAGTGCCTAGAGGTGCTCCATTCTTCACGTAAACCTCCTGCTCAAAGGCACTCCGCTTTACTAACCGAGTGTGCTAAGAAGCCCACGGCTCTGTTTTGTTGCTGCTACCTCTACTGCTGCCACTTCTCTGGTATCACAGCTCTGTCTCCTGGCTCAAGGAGGTTCAGTGCACAGGGATCACAGAATCCAAACGATATACTCTGCCCCTGGCTCTCCTTACTTGATGTTAGTGATATTCCCTGGATTTTCCTCTTTATGTGGAGGTGTAATCCATACTGAAAGCTATAGTCTTTAATCTTCATCAGTAAGTGCTTCAAGTCTTCTTTACATTCAGCAAGCAAGATTGTGTCATTTGCATATTGAAGGTTGTTAATGAACGTTCCTTTAATTTTAATGCTGCATTCTTGTTCATATAGTCCAGCTTCTCTGATTATTTGCTCAGCAACAGTGCTAGAAATCCTAATTCTGATTTAGGGACCTGTCGTATGTGCCTATTTATGTGTTTATATCTCTGCCACACTTGAAATGTTTTACAGGCATGAGGAAACAAGGCTGTGGGGCTTGTTCAGCACTGTGTCTTCCCCAGTACTGCTTTTCCCATATTTGTATCCACCCTCCAATAGCAAATGGCATGTTACCTGGCAAATATTGGTTGACATTTGTTTGTTGGTGATTTATTAACTATTATATGCCAACCCCTGAGATGAATGCAATGGGAGAAATAAGTTATAAATGTGTCAGATAAGAACCATACCTTCAAAGAACTTATTTTCTTCTATTATTTGTTGTTGTTGTTAAGTGCCGTCGAGTCGGTTCCGACCCATAGCGACCCTGTATAGGGTTTTCGAGGGTATAAATCTTTACGGGAGTAGAAAGCCTCATCTTTCTCCCGCGGAGCGGCTGATAATTTCGAACCGCTGACCTTAAGGTTCGCAGCCCGATTCGTAACCACTACGCTACAAGAGCTCCTTTTCTTCTATTATATGCACCTAAAATTTTAATGAACAAATGAGAACGAAGTCTACTCCTTACCATTTCGGTAGTCATCACTTTTGCTACAATGTGTGTTATAGTCTTTTCAAAGTCTCTCTTTCCTTTCCTCCGCCTCAGAATTCTTGGAAAGAAAGGTCCATGAACACTATAGTTGAAAAAAAAAAGATTAAATTAATATGAAAAAGACTCAACCTAATCTTAAAAAAGAAGAAAACTTGGTACTAGGCATCATTAATTTATTAATTACTACTTCTTTGAGAGCAATGATCTCCTTGAGAGCAACAGAATGTTGAGATCTGTTGGATAACTAAGTGTTTCAACCTTGAACTCTAAAATATTTTCATTTTAGTGGTTTATACCTGAAAATCTCAATGTCACCCACTACAGCCACTGCCTTAGCTACTTCAGCCTTCCAGCACAGAAGAAAAATACCCTGAATATGCTCTTATAATCTACTCTGGCATTGTAGTGGATTATGTAGAAGATTACGAGCAGGGCTGTTCACTGCCAGGTCAGCAGTTAAAGTCTACTGGGAGCTCCTTGGGAGAAAGAGGAACTTTTCTGTTGCTGTAAAGATTAAAAGCCTCAGAAACCTGATACATGTTGACTGTTGTTGTTAAGTACCATGGAGTCGGTTCCCACTCATAGTGACACTGCACAGGGTTTCTGAGGCTGTAAATCTTTACAAGAGCTGAAAGCCTCATCTTTCTCCCATGGAATAGCTGATAGTTTCAAACTGCTGACCTTGAGGTTAGCAGCCCGATTCGTAGCCATTATGCTACCAGAGCCCCTTATATGTCGACTTGGTGGCACAAAAGCACCATATAGCCAACACCACCAAGTTGCAGATTCACACAAAGCAAGAGTAGATATGTGCTATTGAGGCATATGACTGTTTTGGGTACCTAGTTTTAAATGCTATATTCAAATAACAGAGTCTTTTGTTATAAAAGATAGTCTCCATAGATACAGATGTCCATTGACCTCCAAGAAGTAGCCAATATTTTTCTCTTAGTTATTTTTATATTGCTTGCTATTTAGCATTTCTTATTAATCCCATTCATTCTGCTTTTCTTTACATTTCTTGTTTTCTGCTTATTATTCATTTAAGTCTCTCCTAAAGAAGTCAGAGACAGTTTTTAGTATAATCATTTGCCTTTATTATTATTGCAAGCCAAATAGAATACCCCTTTCCAGTAGGTGTAGACTTACCAGTAATCAACTTAGGTGTCATTTCTGGGAGCTCTCTGTAATAGATTGATTATGGCTTGGTGCTAAGGTTGATGCAGTTTTAGTGCCAATATTTTTAGAATTATATCTTAATTATCAAACTTTTGTGAAGTTTAAGCTTTCAGAAAATTATTTTTAAGATTTAAATTTAGCAGGTCATTAAAATTTGAATTTGGATATATTAGCAGTAGTATGTCTCTAGCAAAAATTTCATTAAGCATTTCAAAATCAAACCCACTCAGCATTTTTATACCTATTTAAGTAAGTGGTTTTAATCTTGTGAATAGAGAATGACTCATACATTTTTTACCATACCCTAGATTATTGGCTGCTCAGAATAAAGCAAACTTGATGTCCTAGAGATAACCATATTCATTTATTTCCAACTCTAATTTTAAAACTAAAGATAAATAAAAGTGATTAAAAAATCAAATTTACAAAAAAAACACTTCACAACAACTTCTGGTAAGATGGCGGAGTAGGCAGGGGCATTACTTGGATCCTCTACAACAAAAGATAAAAGAGGACAAATGAAATAGACACACTTGAGAATTCTGGAACCCTGAATTCCAGAGGTATTATTGGGAAGAGAAGCTAAGCAGGGATAGTGAGAGAGGGAGACTGACTGATGAATGGCTGTTCAGATGCAGCAGGACCATTTTGAACTTTTGTGAGCAGCTTTGGCAACGGAATGTGGCCTGAAATAGCAGATTCACACAGGTGACTAGAAAGGTGTGAGTCCTTCTTTTTCCTCATGCTCCCTTGGTGATTAGAGGTGTAGCCAGCTCTCACCCTCACCCATCCCCAGCACAGAACCTGCTTTCCAGGAGTTCAGAGCTCAGTAGTTGTGAGCCACATTAGTGTGACGTGGGGGCTGGCTGTGCCTCTTTGGTGCCTGAATTCCAGACCTACCAAACTTGCAGAGCTACCAAACCAGCATTAGCCTAGCAGAAGCCCTCATAACAAGTCATCCCTGCCCCTAGCTACCCTGTGGTCCTACCAGACATTCAGGACCTCAATGAACTGCTTCAAAATTGATGACCTGAACATGGATAATACCCAGGTCTACAGGAACTCTGCTGTCAGCCCACCTGCACCCACCTCGTGAACTCTTTGGCTGGCAGAAGTCACCAGAGTTTTCTCCTTTCTGGGTTCAACAGCTGTACTGTTTTTCTGTTTTGGATTTTTCCTTTTATTGTTTTTGTTTATTCTTTCTTCTCCTTCTTCTCTTTCTGTTCCCTTAAATTTCATCCTATTTTCGCTTTTGTTTTTCCTTCTTTTCTTGTTTCTCATTTCTCATTTTTTTCTTTTGCTCTTTGTTTACTACTCTCTACTTTTTTTCTTGTTTTATCTTCCCTCTCCCTGGTTTTTCTGTATCTTATTTCTTCCTTCTATTTTATCGCTTAGATTTCTAAGGTCCCATTTTCCTGTCCCTCTTTTCTCTTTTTAGGTATTATTTTGGGGGGTGGAGTTGATGCCTGTTTTTATTATTTTTTCTTTTCATTGCTGGTTGCTCATTTGTTTATTCTATTTTGTTCTCTTCTGTGTGTGGTTCTTCTCTTTCCCACCAAAGAGGAGACGGTAACTGTGCCCATACAGCCCAACCACAACCATACCTGCTGGGTAAGAGTCAATACAAGTTCCTATACCATCTGATCAATGATAGACAGCAGCCAATACCTGTCAAACCAACCCTAAACTGAGATGCATGAACGGTAAACAGAGAATGGTTAACACGCTACCATTAGAGAATGAATTATACTCACAGGAGAAAGTTGGTGAGCATCTAAGAACACATCAAAATGTTGTTGTTAAGTGCTGCTGAGTTGGTTCCAACTCATTGTGACCAGTATAGGGTATTTGAGAAGTGGTTGGTGAGTTTGAACCACTGGCCTCATGGCTCAAACGGACGTTGCGGTCCAGTGCTTATTCTACAGCATCACACCAGGATTCCACTTCAAGATGCAATCATCAATTAAACACAATAATCAGTTAAATACGACAACACAATGTTCCAGAGATAACAGACAATTTTAGCTCACATGAAGAAAGAAGAGAGAATGACACAAACAAATAACTAATATGCAGAGTCAGAAAATATTACTGCAGAAGAAAAAGTAATGGAACTGAAATAAAATTTAAAAGAATGCTATTTATGTACCTTCAAAAGGATTGACAGAAAGATGGAGGAAAGCAAGGAGGAAACAGAAAAAAACCTTAGGAGAATTCAGGAAAACTTTACAAGAATAAATACATTAAAACACAAAATTTGAAACAATACAAAGCCTACAAATAGAAATCCAGAATATTAATCCTGAGATTTCAGAAATGGACAATATATTGAAATGGCAAAGGAGTAGATTTGAAGTAGTAGAAGCCTGGATTACTGAGCTTGAAGATAAATCTCTCAACACTAGTATGTTAGAAGAACAATCAGAAAAAAGAAAGGAAAAATCTGAAGAAAGCCTAAGATACATGTGATATATCATGAGACGAAGTAATAGCGTAGATACAGAACTTCCAAATGGCAAGGAAGTCAAGTAGATTTCAAGATTAAACAGATAGTTTCAAATGGGAAAAAAATTAATAAATTATAGGGTAACCTCAAAGAATATTAATATACCTTTACATCAAAATAAAAAGGGGGAAAGTCAGAAAGATTTAGTAAACATTAACACGACAAAAATGACAATGAAAAGAACACTTACAAATAGAGTGAACTCAGCACAGAATTACAAAAGAACACACAGCAAAATGATAGCAACTAAATCGTACCTATTGATAATTACATTGAATGTAAATGGATTAAAATGCACCAGCCAAACAAGAGACAGTAGCAGAATGGATGGAGGCCACCTAAATGCACATCAACAGAAGAATGGTTAAACAAACTTTGATACATACATACAATGGGATATTATAAAACAATGAAGAATAACAATGAATCTACAAAACACCTCACAACATGGATAAACCTGGAGGACATTATGCTGAGTGAAGATAGTTAGTCATGAAAGGACAAATACTGTCTGAGACCAGTGCTATAAAGAGTAAAAAAAAAAAAGGTTTCCTTGATAAAAGAAACACTCTATGATGATTACTGGGGCAGAGAGGGAAAATTATTCATGAGCTAGAGGGTAAAGACACATGTTAACATGGATGAAAGGGCAGGCAATATACAAGAGGGAGGTCGGCAGAGGAAAGATTAAGGTAGCAGGAGACACAGGGAGGAATGCAAGAGTTAAAGTGACTTGAAGTAAATACTGCTAATTGATGGTATATGAAGGGGATTACAATTACTGTGATGAAGCAAAGCATCTGATTTGCTGAATGTAAAATTGATGATTTGCTTTGTAAACCTGCACTTAATTCATGCAAAAAATGAAAAAAAATAAATCAAATTTACTAAAGAGTAACTTACATAAAGACACTCATTTTAAGTGAACTGAATCCATGAGGTTTCACAAATGTAAACACCATTTAGCTCTATGACAATTAAGATATAGAACATTTGCATCACCTCATAAGTTCTCTCATGCATCTTTGTTGTCAGTCCTCCATGCCCACACCCAGATAAACACAGATAGATTTTCTATTATTATATATTTCCCTTGTGTATAATTTATAAATGGAGTTTTAAAGTGGAATGATGCAATATGCACTCTCTCACGTCTGGCCTCTTTCACTCAACCGAATTTTGAGATCTATCCATGTTTCTGCATGCATCAGCAACTTGTTCATTTTTGTTGCTGAGTAGTATCTCAATATAAGATTTTCTGTATACAAGAAGATAATGTCAGCTGCAGGTAGAGATAATTTTACTTCTTCCTTTCCAATCTGGATGCTTTTTGTTTTTGTTTTTGTTTTTTTTTTTTACCCAGCTGCCCTAACTAGAACAAGTTGAATGAAGTGGTG